AAATAAAACCTCATTTTCTGCACCCATCCAAATCACAGGTCAACAGGGGTCAGTTTTTGGCAGTTGAGTTAATGTCGTAACTTGTGGAGCCTAAATAGGCTCACCTATTTAGCTGAAGTGGTGAGCTGTGCTTTAAGATAAACTTGAGTTCTGGTAAAAAAGGAAAATGAATTCTCACAGAATCTAACAAAACTTACACTGAATGTTCAAGATTTCAAATAAATGTCATGTGCCAAACAATTTTGGAAGAAAATGTATACTGGCTGAGTAATGAGCATAGAAAGATAAGGAAATCAGGGTAGTACTAGCCCCGAGACCATGTGTGTTGTCCCATATACATCTTTCTGTGTAAGGGATTGTTACTTTACCAAGACTCTGCCAAATTTATGATGATTTTGATGACTCCAGAACCTTGTATTACACGCCATTACTTACATGCTATATGATCAACTTTTCTGATCCATTCCACACCTTTTCTTTCACAATGCAATCACATTACCAGAACTCAAGTTTATCTTTAATTAATGCAAAATCATTGTGCGTACTCCACATAAGATAATGCCATCAGGTCAATAGCTAGCTTTTTGGTCGAAAACTTTAAATTTTCAAGCCTTCAGATTTCAAGTTTTCAGAGAGCTGTTACTCCTTTGACAGACACTAAAATGTCATATCAATCAAATAATAACAATAATATTTAGCTTATATAGAGCACTTAATGCAATATCTCTAACTTAAGCACTTTAGTGACAACCTGTGTACAAAGACCACAATTTTGTTTCCCTTGAAAATGGTTTCTCATTGGAACATGTACTGAAGGAACCTGTCTTCAAAGACCACTTTTTGTGTTTCCCTTGGGTGGTCGCTATAGACCAGTTTGACTGTAATTGATATTATTGTAATCTATTGCTTATTAGCCTTCCGTTGATATATCATTAATCTTATTTCCTTTTTGCTTCTGACAGGCACTTTAATTAGAGTGTACAGAGTATTTATTGGAGCTAATAATTATGTCACACACAGTCAAGCTGCGCGAAGGTGAATTAGTTGACTGTGTAAACCAGTATGCTGCACACATGTTATTGTGCAGATGAACAGAACGTGAAGATAAATGGGTTCAATTTGGGTCTGTTTAAAAGAGCCTTGAGAATTATTTTTAGATACATGTGTATGCAAATATAAATGCATTTGTACAATTTGATTAATGCCAGCTAGTTTGCTCACTAGTGCAAACTGAAGTGATGTTTACATGATTTATCAGTGTAGTTTACAATTATCATATAAATTAAAATGATAGATATTGTTGTACTTTTATACAAGTAGTTTTTAATCCTGACAAGAATATGCATATATACAGACTGAACTATATTTCAAAAATGACTTAGAGTGATACAGGAAATTAAATGTCCACCCCCACAGCGTGTGGAAAATCGATGATGTAAACCAGGATGATGGATTAATGATGCTGTTTTTTTCTTTGCATAATATTTTAATATTTTATAGGCCAAGAGGTTGGAGGAGGGGGAGGAGAAGGGGGTTAAATGGGATGGGAGACGGCAGGCATGATACCCCTAGACCTACCTACCCAACCCCTCCTTGCCTGTTCAGTTTTGAACCTACAAAAAGCTTTCAATAATTATGGAAAATGCCTTTCATGGCAAGGGAAACGTCTTTCATGGCAAGCGAAAACGTCTTTCATGGCAAGGGAAACGTTCGGACAAGGCCTGTCCGTCATATTCTGAGAAATGATGATCTCTCTCCATCTCTGTAGAGACTTGTTAGACTAGTGGTATAGCCGTAGGCTAGCTGCAACCCCGCATGCTCATCGCTAAGTGTTTCTCATTTCCATACTGATGTGTGGAGAAAGCTAAGGTCATTATATATTGAATACCACTGACCAGGTTATTCATTTCATTTCATGTTTGTCTCTAGACATCACCATACATATCGTTGGGTTGGAGCAAAAAGGGCGTTGACTTGTATCAACGGGCTTCTGGGACCCGTTTCACAAAGCCTTTTTTTCAATGACAAATGACAATAATCAGTGACAAATCTGCTGATAACCAATCATTAGCAAGGATCATTTCTCCCTTCTTTTAATAGTTGTAATTTATTATCTTAAAATCGATTAAAATGTAAAAATTGGGGGAAAATGGAAATATATTTGGCCTTTCTTAATGCGTGTAGTGAGGATTTCACACAACCTGATTTTGTTTCTCCTAAAGCGATCAAACATTGTCCAGCTGAAACAATAAAAATGACTATTTGTCACGAGTAATACATGTATGATGTATATGAATTAATTGGCATTAAAAGTAAGACCTCTGAGGAATGAAATTAAAATGATATTTCTGTCATATTGAACATATGGAGGTTCCTTGAGGGTCTTACGGTTAATGTGTCTATATATTTATATGCCACTCTCATTTTGAATGGTGTTTGCCTCTTCTCACCGTTATATTTACATTATCAATATTGATTATGTGAAGAAGAGATGGTCACCATTCTGTATTGACAGGCCATTTGAGTGGTGCCAAACCCCCTCTCACAACTATACTATGCATTCACAGGTTATTTAGTCAGGCAAGAAATCTATGACAGTCTCTCTAATGAGAAACCACTTATTAGTATGTCACATACATTCTTTCATGATTAGTACACGCATATTGGCTTGTCAGGAAGCATGTTCACCAGTCTGCAGCCCCATGCTATGTATAGATCAGTAGCATTGGCACACAGTAAGCAGCCATTATACAGACAAGAAGAGGTCACCAGTCACTGACCTCAGCACAGTCCAGAACAGTGTGTTATGAGCATACCATCTACTGGGAAACAGAAGGATATTAACTAATAGGACATCATGTAGAGTTGACAGCATACCGACTCTTAGGAAAAAAACCTTAGACGAATCAGAATATTATGTTTACCATTTCAAGGCAGGATTTATATTAGGGCTAATTTATTACATATTGATTTGATTTGATTTGATTTATTTATTTCTGTTTGATCATTCTTCTAATTGGCAACTATGATATTTGTTATAATCACTACACTGCCACAATGAAATTGAATGTCTCTGACAACAATATATACCTACGCCAGAATGTTATTGAAATGTTGAAAAGTCATTCAATTAAGATATTATTGTACGTTTAAACAAAATATTATCATTACATCCCTACGTTTTCATTTGTAATATGGCCATTCAATGTACGCACACATGTGTATGGACAGCCATGTATGACATGCATGCCTACATGCTACATGTATTACTTACACGGTATGTAATACATGTACAGATCAGTACAGTACTACAGTCAGTGTATTTAAACACTCACATCCTTGCTTTCTGTACACTCCATGAACTGTTATCTAAAGTAGATGTCAATCTATTAAGTGTTAGAATGTCTGCGACAGATTTAATATATAACCCAAGGCTGTTCCTTTGAAAACATGAAACCTATTATAGACATTCTCCCGATATCATTTGTTTTTGTGAGTGTCCTTGTGTAAATATATGATTGGGCATGTATTCCCAAATTAGTGACATGTATGGTTCCCCCAAGACTAAAGACAAGGCTTATATGCCTGGCATTTTTCATCATGCCCTCTGTATGAAAATTTCAAACATCTGAGGAACTTGTAATGAATTAACCCTAGTTTATTCATGTGAATTTTCATAATACCCTAAGGGATACCCTTGTTATGGCTTACTCTATCAGCATTTGAATTAACGTTGACCTCTTTAATTTCACCTGGTTAGCGGATGAAATATTCATGCGAATGAGAGCCATGTTTTATTGACCAAGCTATCATGCAGACGTCATGGGAATAATTGACTGCGCAGGATGACTGTCCCGCCCCCAGTCCCATGCATTTACATCTGTGTGTGTATGGCCCCTGAGGAAATTAACTCCGATGCCGACGTCACAGCAATAAGTGGCTGTCGAGGAGATTCGTCCTTCCCATGGTCTCTCATGTTTAAACCAATGTGGGCCTCTTCATTATGAAAATGCCACATTAAATTGGGAACGAGTGATTGAATAAAGCTGGTTCCATGTTGCTTAATTTACATGTATCTTTCTTTGTGCCGTTGCAGAGAATGTATAGTCTTCATTAAACATTTTGCAGCCTTCATTGTTTTTCATTCATAATGCATGTGCATCGGCCATACAAAACTGCCCATTGTTTGTACTAACTATCATAACTCATTCATTTTAAAAGTTTCATTTCATTTGCGAAAATTAATCAACGTCTGTGGTTTGGCTCAATAACTCTTGATTTAGAGCCCCCCCCCCCCCCAAAAAAAAAAAAGAAAAACCAGATACAGGAGTAGAAAAGGCAAAGATTCTGCACACACCACATCTCTCTTTGTTTCATGACTGTATTGCATTTGATGTTTATTTTCCTAATAGGAATTTCGAAAAAGAAAAGTTTTCAACTTTTTTAATTGGCAACACGATTAGAGATTAGAGATAAAAACCCGGCTATTTTCAAACTTTTAGAGAACATTCTCGCATGTGTATATTGTTTTCATAGACGTTGCATTTTATTTTATCACTGCAGTGGTATAAGGAAAATATAATTGTTGCCAATTTAAGGAAGGATATATGATCAATTTAGCCCTAAAATAAAATACTGACCTGAAAAGGTTCATATAGCATTCTCATGTAGGGTTTCTACATGTATATGTTTGTATTCGTATTCATGTGTAATGATTTCATAAAGGGTCTGCAAATTAAAGACTAATGCACACCCACTCCGGCATGTAGAAACATGTTTCCAGGATCACCTGTACTACATGCATTTCATTCAGCATGATTCATGATGAAATAAATATTTAAACATGACTACATGTATGTAGTATTCAGAGACCTCTGCTATGTACCGCAAATGAGGGAATAAATGAATTAAACATGTTTTATCACCGTAAGTGGAACAGGCCTTTTATTGTTGTATTCAACATCGTTTTAACAATTTTTTTCTTTTCTTGTTTTCTTCAGGGTTCTTCTAAGCGAAAAATGGGCTCAAACACAGAACTGGCCAACGGCATCCTCAACAAACTAAAAGAAAGCAATGGATCCATGGAAACTCTTGAATTGGCGCGATCTCTGGGACGACGCTCCCGCAAGGACGTCAACCCGACCTTATATCGGATGCAGAAGAACGGCCTTATCTTGAAGGTGTCTGCTTCACCTCCAAAATGGGGCTTGAAGAACGAGGTGACTGTTGGCCCTCTGCATGGCGCGACTGCAGAGGATGGGGACAACCTGCAGGAAGCGGAAGAGACGGCTGAAGAAGCGCTTTCTGGTGGCAGTGGTGGGATGGAGCGAGATGACTTCATGGATGAAGGCAGTGGTGGCGATGTTCCTGTTGCTGAGCCCTTTGGTCATCCTGTCAACCATTCCGCATCCATAGACGCAGGGCAGCTGTACCCACCCCCTCTCTCCAGCTACAACGGCACTCATTCCGTGCCAGGCGTTGACCCCATGCCTTCGCCGACCAACATTTCCAGCTCGAGCGACGACTCAGAGACTTCCGAACAACCTGTCATTTTCGCAAAGCCGCCACCTCCACCACATGAACTTCAACAAAGTTTCGCAAAGCCATACACACCAAACGGCATGGACCATAGGTTACTGATGGCATTAAGTGAAAAGGTAGAGTCAATCCATTCCAACGATCTTGCCAAGCAACTTGGTTACCGTACCAAGAAGGAGATCAACCCAACTTTGTTTAGTATGCAAAAGAAAGGACTTGTAAGAAAAGTGTGTGAGTCTCCCCCTATGTGGGTCATCACCCCGTATGGGAGACAAATTCTAGAGACTGATCAGCAGCAGCAATCGCCAGAGCAGTCGCAGCAGAAACCTGGACAGTTTCCTGTAATGATGAGTTCTCCTATGCCAGGTACTGCTCCTCACATAGTGAACTTTGGACCACACATAGAGCAGCTCCAGGGGGTTCCTGGACAGATGTTCCACCATGTCCCACAGAGTCCTCAACCCCTCCTAGGCTCCAACGACGACAGGCAGTCCATCTACAATGAAAGGCTCAATTTACAAGCAGCCATTAAAGCCGGGATACCCATGGAGTTCGCCACATTGATGTTCGCCTCGCCCGACATGGAGATCAAGGTCTTGTGTGCTTTGAGCAATCAACAAACCCAAGGAACTGTGGAGATCGTCCACAATGTAGGTCTGAACAGAGGCAAGGCTAAAGATGTTAACCCCTCGCTCTATGGCCTTGCAAAACGAGGAAACATCACTAAGGTCACGGACAGCCCTCCAACATGGCACATCAACGAGAAAGGGGTCGAGCTGATCAACAAGGAGAAGAAACCGATCGAGATGAACGGTGCGACCAAACCGATGGAGATTCCTAACCATGTCAACATGGTGACGGGGGCACCTGGAGTGCTCATGCCACAGCCAATGAGTTCCCCTAACCACCAGGGTGGCATTCTTCCTCCAGATCCTAGGACAGTTCTGCAGAATTGGGATCAAGGAAGACCCGGCCCTGGTTTCATCCCTGTCTCATCATTCACACCAACCATTCCAACTCAGGTATGTCTCACTTTGCTGTCCATTTTACCCTTCCCTTCCCCTCAATGCAGAGGGCATCAAATCACACCAAATAGTTATTCGGTAAAAAATCTATTTGGACATATATTTGTTCCTGAAAAAGATATAGCTACCTCCATTTCTAAGTTTGTTCTCAAGGACGATGATTTAAAGCCCCACTGCACTACTTATAGCTACTTGCACCCTCTATATAGCAAACAATGGCTAATCGGTGCCTGTTGGTCCTCCATGATCCCCTTTTTTTATGTTAATTGAGAGCTGATTTGATGAAATAACCACATGTCAGTGACCTTGCAGGATGGTCGAATCCCTTTTGTAAACTAGTACAGATTGGCTTTACAAAATCTATTTGGACAAGAACTTTGTTCCTGAAATATATATATAACGTACATAGGTACCTCCATTTCTAAGTATATTTTCAGGGGAGATGATTAAAAACTGATGTTATCAATGAAATGAAATATAGAATCAGAGTTCAAGTTATAGCTTGAAAGTTCATGCATGCAAACAACTTTTTTTCTCAAGTACACTCTTCTAATCTTTCACAGGTTGCCCCTATCCGTGCTACCACCATGCCTTACATGCCCCCGAACTCCTTCGCCAACCCTGCCTCCGTTAACAGCGCCCCTATCCCAGCATCACCAGCTCCCCAGCCACAGTCTTCCCACAATGCACCGGTCATCGGGTCGTCGACGGGTCAGACAATCAGTAACGAGATGTTTGCTGCTATCAATAAGAACCCCGTGAGTGCATTGACCGAGTATGCCCAAGCCAGGCATCTACCTGTTTCCATTGATCTACTGCAGCAGTCTGGTCCTCCACATAACCCAAGGTGGGTACTAAAGGGGGTAATAAAGGGATTAATATGGGTGTAGGGATGGGGGAAGGAGGTTTTAGGAATTAGTGGGTAGGGAGAAGGGTTAGGCATATACTGGTTTCCATTGATCTTCTACAGCAATCCAGTCCCCCATTACCCATGGTAGGTACCAAAGAGGTATCACAGTGGATTAATATGGGTGTAGGGATGGGGGAAGGAGGGTTTAGGGATCAGAGGGTAGGCAGAAAGGGGATCCAGCATCTACTGGTTTCCATTGATCTTCTACAACAATCCAGTCCCCCATTTATCCATAGTGGGTACCAACGAGGTATTACAGTGGATTAATATGGGTGTAGGGATAGGGGAAGGAGGGTTTAGGGATTAGTCTGTAGGGAGAGAACCCTATAGATCATCATTCTTACTCTCTTGAAAAACAAGCCATCTTGTTGTCAGTGTATCCTTGTAGTCCAAGGACCCATTTCACAAAGCCTTCTCTCAATGACAAATGACAAAAATCAGTGACAAATCTGCTAATAACCAATCAGAAGCAAGGATTTCAGTAGCTTATAACACAAACTGTCATTTGTCACTGATGACAAGTTTTGTGAAACGCCCCCCCAGACATGTGCTTGAGATGTCCTGGACCCTGTTTCCTAAAACTTGTTATTGATAACAAGTTTTATGAAACATCCCTGGTTTACAGTAGTCTGTTTAGGAGTGGGAGGGAGTGTTGAAAGGGGTGTTGAGATGAATGGGAGGAGGGTCCAGTCTGGCTGTTGGGGGAGGGAGAGAAAAGGGGTCTGAAACTTGATATATCTTGATCTATACATGTATGTAAAGTGATTGCTGTTTATGTCCTTTGGCAAGACATTGATCTACATTTGCCACACTCCACCCAGGTGATGTAAATGGTACCTGGCAGGAATTAATTCCTTGAAATGCTAGAGCGCTGTAATGGCAGCCCTGCTAAAGCCAAGGTAATAATTGAGAGTGCCAGGAGGTGTCACGTCTGACAGACATGAGTGCTATACAAGAACCCACTATTATTATTATTATTATTATTATTTAAATTTGACCAGGTTTGTGTTTGCGGCCTGCGTTGGAGGCAGGAGGTTCCAACACGTCACCAGTCGCAGCAAGAAGGACGGAAGGAGGGAAGCGGCTGATATGGCTCTCCGTACTCTGGTGGCTGAGGGCTCCCTTCAACCGAAGCTAACACCCATGCCCATTGTCCATGTAAGTACAGTTACATCAGGGGGGCGTTTCACAAAACTTGTCATCAGTGACGAATGGCAATTTGTGTTATAAGCTACTGAAATCCTTGCTTCTGATTGGATATCAACAGATTTGTCACTGATTTTGGTTATTTGCCATTGAAAAAAGACTTTGTGAAACGCCCCCCAGTTGGTGTCCTTTAAGAGATTGGGGTTATGGACGTGAGAGAGGAGGGCTAAAGAAGGGAATGAATATCCTAGTGAGTGACTCTCAAAGCCTTGGGGCAGACAGACCTTGGAGAGCTTAACAGGGGGGTGTTTCACAAAGACTAAGATCGACTTTAAGTTGGACCAAATTATGGCAGGCCGTTCATGCCACTGGTTCCTCTAACCATACCTGGCATTGGTTTCTCAAGGAAGGTATAAATCGTGGCCGCCAATCGACAGAATTTACCTTTTTTGGTGGTTCATTATTGAAGGAAAAAATATTACCTAAAGATCATAATTGAGAGACCAATGATGAGAGCAACCAGTGGCATGAACGGCCTGCCATATGCCATATTTAAGTCCAATTTAAAGTCGATCTTAGTCTTTGTGAAACACCCCCCTGGAGATATTAGAGAAAAGATATGAGAGTGTTGTGCCTCTCTCGGATGAATGTTGAAACCCGGAAGGCTTGGAGAAAGGCCATCAAGGAAATGAAATGTTCAGCTCTACAGCGTGGGAAAATGTGACAATGGTTTCAGTGACCTGTTTCACATGAAGATATCAAGTCAATAATCATTTATATGAGGACTTATATGGATGGTGTGGTGGTGGTTGTTTAACCTGACTGTTAAGAAAGCTTGTAAACGGCAACAAGGGGACCAACATATTTTACATCCTCTCTGAGGGACTTGCTAAAACCTTATATATATATATATATCTCTTACCTTATCTTAAGGGAAAATCTTAAAAGGAGTTATTAGAAAAAAGATTTTTGAGAGTATGTTGTCTTTCCTGGATGGATGGTGAAAATTGAAAGGCTTGGAGAAAGGCCATTAAGGAAATGAAACTTTAAGCCCCAAAGCATGAGGAAAACTCAAAATGCAAACAGGCTACAAGTTTTGGCAGTTATCCATTTCTAATGCAGAGCAGAGTTTTACATCTATATATTGATCATGTAATTATGATCAAAACAAAAAGTGTTGCTCGTTTGTCAGATAATGAGAATAGATATTTTTACTGCTCACTTTCTGAAAGCTAGAGTACCATTCAATGTGATACAATGTACTATAATACTAATCATCAAGTGTTATTTAAACAAGAAAATTGAGGAAAAAAAATATCAGACACATAATAAATAATGTTCCTAGGAGCTCTGGGTGAAAATGAGATGCTTGTTTCTCCTTTGAAATGTACTCTAAAGACAATCAATGTTTCTAATGTCACTGGGCAGTCTCTTCCACATGAATGGTGCCACTTGTCCAATTGCCTAATCTCTGTAGTGGGTGGTTATACATGCACATGCATGTGCTCTTTGTAAATGTGTTTTTAGGTGATACATTTAGGAAGGAAAAGAGGAAAGATCACAAAAGTGGAAAAGGATGTCATCGTGAATCAAAAAATGTAAACAAGGATTAAAACATGAAAGAAATGAGAAGACCTATTGAAAAACAGTAGTCAGAAATATGTCAGTGATATCCCCCCATGATTTAATAGGGCATTGTTACTTGTGTATGGGTCAAAGGTGAGTGAAAATTTGATATTTGTACAGAAAAATCAGAATTGACCGAAAATTATGCATGATTATACTCCAGGGAATTAAATTGGTATGCTCAGTTGAGTACCGGTATAGTTGTGTAGAAAATGCACAATGTAAATTTATAATAATTAATTTGTTTTTATATACTTATTTTAAGGTCTTCCATTCCTCTTAATTGATAACTCCCTTTAACGTGGAAAGTCAAGTATGATCGATATTAGAGGGGTTAATTTATAATCCAATGTACAATTTACACGTAGGAGCAATTTAGCATTGAAAGTTGTATATTATTTTCCATCTTTTGTTTTCTGTATGATCAGACTTCATCCAACGGTGAAACAACGTTCTATGACCGCATCGCTGCCTTAAGTCACCAGACGTTTAACTCTCTGGCTGCCAGCATTCCGGACTCCATCAGCGGTAGGAAGGTTCTTGCAGCACTGATCATGAAGCAGGGAGAGGACGATGAGGGAATGGTCATCAGTTTAGGAACAGGTAATTAGATGTTGGTGGTAGTGAGGACGCTGGTGGTGATGATGGTGATGATGGTGGTGATGATGATGGTGATGATGATGATGATGATGCTGATGGGGATGGGGAGGAGGAGGAGGAGGAGGAGGAGGAGGATGATGATGATGATGATGCTGATGGGGATGATGATGATGATGAGGAGGAGGAGGAGGAGGATGATGATGATGATGATGATGATGATGATGATGATGATGATGATATTGGTTGTGATCGACGGTGATAAGGATGATGACGATATGTAATCTTTTATATATTTTAGGGAATCGGTGTGTGACAGGCGACAAACTGAGCATGGAAGGACGAACAGTGAACGACTCTCATGCTGAGATTATCACCAGAAGGGCTTTCTTGAGGTAAGTAGGCCTGTCCTCATCAGCTTGAGTTTGCCAAATAACCTGCTATTTTAACAATCCCGATCGCAAATTATCCAGCTAATTTGCATCTTCATCAGCCAGCAGTTGCAATTAGCAGAATATTTGGTAAAGAAAATATCCTGAGAAAACTTGGTCTTGTTTCCAAAATATCCCGGTATTTGGGAAATAGCAGGCTAACTTGCGCACGTCCGAGCTAGTTTGTGATGAGCGTATCGGTCTGGTAAAGATGCAATTTCGAGCTTCGGGATAATAGTAGACTCTGAAAATAGTGGGTTATCAGGCCTAGTAAGACCACTTCCCAAGGTAAAATATTGTGCCCTACAAATGCGATTTTGTTGTGTCATATCTAAACAAACCTTTAATGTACCGGTACTCACTCAAATTTTGTTTAGTAGCCCCTGTTAAATGTTTGATATATGAAAACCTTTTTAATGAGTATAAATAAGAATGTTGAAATTTGACACCTCTGGGGGGTGTTTCACTACGGCAGGCTACGGCGGCTCTCATGGGATGTACAAATCATAGTCACAAATCGACAGAATTTACATTTTTTTATAATTTATTATTGAAGGAAAATAATTTATGTAAAGATCATAATGGTGAGAGCAACCAGTGGCATGAACGGCCTGCCATAGTTATAAGTCCAACTTATAGTTGATATTAGTCTTTGTGAAACACTCCCCTGGTGTTTTTGTATTTCATGTACACCGCCCTCTATGACGGTGACATCCTTCATGTTTGTCTTGTAGGTATCTGTACAATCAACTCCAGGCTTACGCTAAGACCCCCAACGAAACCATCCTCACTCAGGGAACCAACGGGAAGCTCCGCCTCCTACCGGACGTGAGCCTTCATCTCTACATCAGCACCGCCCCCTGCGGAGACGGGGCGCAGTTCTCGCGGACGGACGCGGGCGAGAACGAGGAGGGGCCAAACGGGATTGATTTCTGCGGCTTTGCCAAACATCTACCAACGTTTGGCAAAACCAGCCAGGGATTACTCAGGACCAAAATGGAACAAGGTACAAAAAAAATGCAGCTCGCAATTTTCTACTTTGGTCTAAATAATAATAATAATAATAATATTTAGCTTTTATATAGCGCTTATCACAGATGTCTCTAAGCGCTTTACAAATGAATCAGCTTTGCCTCCCAAATTTTCACAAATTATTTCTATGTTTCACTCTGACATATTTTAAAGCCTATCTGCACTAGTTTGGCCAGGAGGGATTAGACCCCCCCCCCCCCCTTCGGGGTCACTGGCAGGTGGTTATATCATCAAATCAGCTCTCAATTAACATAAGACGAAGGGGACCATGGGGGACCAACGTTCACCATTTAGGAATTGTTTGGTATAAAGAGGGCACAAGTAGCTATAAGTAGTGCAGTGGGGGCTTTAAGACAAGTTAACCATGAACCATTGTGGATGAAAGTTTTAAAAATGCAACCAAAATTGTCCAATTTCTACACAAAAATATGTGTTGTGTTATAGGTTTCTATCCTCTTTGCCAATTTTGGAGATTGCATTTTAATGCATTGCTGGCATATACAGATATTTAAAAAATGTTGGATATGTCTCCTTTTTTCAGATGAAGAGGGGATTCATGTCTTATTCTTTCTTCTTAATTTCTCACCTGCACTGCCCCACATATTGAAATAAATGTTGGATATGTGTCTTATTCTTTCATAGGGGAAGGCACTATTCCAGTGACCACCCGAGAGTCAGTTCAGACTTGGGACGGCATCATGAGAGGAGAGAGGCTTCGGACCATGTCATGCAGTGATAAAGTAGCCAGCTGGAACCTGCTTGGCCTCCAGGGGGCGCTGTTGTCTCATTTCATCGAGCCCATGTACTTGAGCTCAATATCACTAGGTAGGAATTAATACAAAGTATTTAAAAATCTTTCAGGAAACAAATCCACAGTGCGTCCCAGAAAAAACGAAACCGAGAATTATCAATGTTTTATCATAACTTAATCACACTTTGAGGAAAATTTGTCTGTCATCTTTAGTTTTAAAAATGACATTGTTGCTGATATTTGTAACAATTTTACAAGCACAAATTGGCGCCTTCACCTGCACCTTGCAGTAAAATGAAGGTCCTTTCCCGCATGGGTTTTAGAACATGGACCTGACTTGCTGCCTACAGAGTCAGCAAAAAAACAACCAAAAAATACACAGAGAAGGTATATTCGTGTATATTTATATTTATATGAATGTCTAAGGATCACAGACATGTGCTTAATTACGTTATCCAATACGAGGCCTAAATATCTCTTTTTCTCCTTGCTCATGCAGGTTCATTATACCACCACGGCCACCTCGCAAGGGCAGTCTGCTGCCGCGTATCGTCTGCCCACGACAACTTCACCCCGACCGAGCTGGACAACCTGTCCCTTCCTGCAGAGTACCACGTCAACCATCCGCAGCTTGGGTGTGTCCGGGCCATCGATCCCCCAAGGGGTACGGAGAAGACCAAGTCACTCAGTATCAACTGGTACCGGGGGTGCGAGAAACCAGAGGTCACCGACGGCACCAAAGGAAGGTAGGTCAAATGAATCAATCAGTTGATTGTGGGTTCTATGAAGTGCAGAAACTTATAACAGTGAGTACAAGAAGAGATGCCACCTCTTCAACACATCTCATCACCTCACGTCATACAGTTAAACCTGCTTTAGTGACCACCTGTCTACAAAGACCACATTTTTGTTTCCCTTGAAAATGATTTCTCATTGAAACATGTACCAAAGGAACCTGTCTACAAAGACCACCTGTCTTCAAAGACCACTTTTTGTGTTTCCCTTGGGTGGTTGCTATAGACAGGCTTGACCGTACCTTTATCTTTTTCCTTTGCTAAAATAAAACCATGATACCAAGTCCTCTTATCTTTCTCTCTCTTCATTTGTCTGCTTTCCTCCACCATAGAATTCAGGGTGTGCTTCACTCCCAGCTGTGCAAGGCGGAGATGTTCAGCGAGTACCAGCAGACATGCCGCCTCTTTGACCGGACCGACCTTCTGGAGTCGCGCACCTACCATGACGCCAAGCTCAGCGCGGAGAGCTACTACACGGCAAAGCAATATCTCAAGTGTATCCTCCACCAAGCAAACTATGGGTCGTGGATGGAGAAGCCAATAGAAGAAGAGCTCTTTGCCAACTGAACTTTCAACTTTGACCTACAACTCATCCATTTATGGAGAAGCCGATAGAAAAAGAGCTATTTGCCAACTGAACTTTCAACTTGGACCTACAACTCATCCATTTTAATGGAGAGGCCGATAGAAGGAGAGCTATTTGCCAACTGAACTTTCAACTTTGACCTACAACTCATCCATTTTAATGGAGAGGCCGATAGAAGGAGAGCTATTTGCCAATTAAACTTTCAACTTTGACCTACAAATCATCCTTTCGATTTAGGAGAACTTTGTTACCAATTGAACCTCAAGTTTGACCGACATTCATTCAGTCGATTAAGGAATAGCTCTTTTTGCCAAACGACCTCTGACCTCTGACCCACGTCCGTCTGATGGAGGAAAAGCTTTCATTTTAATGAGGAGGAGCTGTTTGCCAACTGAAATTTTTTCTTCTCCTCCTCCTTCTGCTGCTTCTTCTACTTCTCCTTCTTCTTCTTCTACCTCTTCCGCAAACTGTCCAGAAATAGTTACAAATCTTCTTTAAAATACGTAAACAACTCACCTGATTTTTATTTTATCTTGTCCCTATACAACAGCTCCGACAAACATCAATAAGAGTGCAATTTTGATTGAAGAAGTTTATTTTTACAACCTTTAAGTTGGTATGTGCCATGTACATTAAATTGCCAGGCAGTATATTGAGTTCTTATTTTACATGAACATGTTTGATTCATATATAATAACACAAAGGGATAGATTTGATCTCTGTTTTGCGATCGAAGTAAGCTACGGAGAGCCAGATCATACTTATTTGATGTCTTGTGTTTCCTTTGACATAATCTACTTTAATGATTCTTCTTTCTTTCATATTAAGGAAGAAATGGAGATGCAATAATGATAATATCAATAAAAATAAGGTAGGTTCCTGTATAGCGCGCTTGTCACTCTTTGACACCCACTGTTACTCCCTGAGGCTTTAGTATATACCCAGACGATTTGTGTCTGGGCAGTTGATATAAAACAGCAATTTGAAGAAGTTTACAAGCAATATTTCATAAATTTTCTAAGACCTATGTGGGACAATATTATAAAGAACAACAACTGCTTGTAAGTGTCGGCTTGCATGGTGATGTAGATATACAGTAGGCTTGCGGGTGCACCTCTCACATGGTGCACCCGCAAGCCTACTGTATAACATTAATGATGGTTTTAGTGATATTTTATTGATATTTCTCGTTCAATCCAAAGGCAAAAGAGAAGTCTTGATGTTGGTTAGGTGTCCCGACACCCAACCCCCCCATCACACATTTATTGTAAATAAAAGGTACACTGGTAAATGAGGAGCTAGTAATAGCATATAATGACATTTTTCCTGGCCTGACATTAGTGTTGGTGTACCAAGATAACTTCAGCAAATGTAGGATATATGCAATCAGCAAACTATTTCCTCTTGACTGCGCCCTTGAAGCTAATTTCCTTTTAAAATGAAAACGAAACCTGTTGAACCAGGTCAGGGTTAAAATGTAGGTACTGGAAATGGAAATTAGATGAATACTATTTTCACTTCCTGTTAAAATGAAAACGAAACCAAAACCCTTTTCATCAGGTACGGGTCAATCAATGTTGGTACTTACAATGGAAATTAAATGAGTACACAATGAGGATGTCTGATAAAATATTTTGACTTCCATTTATTCTCTAGTTCAACTGATCAGACTAGGTTTTTTTAACAGAGAACTAGAAACACCATTTTGTTGCTTTTATTATTTGTTATTTTAATCCATACATGCCATATGCTGTTTTTCTTTCAAAATACATACCGGTACAGTTAACAACTACATTATTCATACCTCTTGTAAATTTCATGTTATTGGTATTTTTCGTAACTCGAGAATGAAAGTTGGACTGGTTGAATTAAGGCCATGCAGTACTTACTTTTTAGATATAAGCTTTAACATGTCACATTCTCAAGAAACATGAATTAGAACAACTTAATTTTTAGTCACATGCTTTAAAAATGACATAACTTGGCAAGGTTATAAATAATTCAGTTGTTAACGGCATATCATTGGTGTTTATTCAAATGATATGGTCTCTGAAAGAAAGAGATTGGAATCATGTATCTCTACTAACAGAGTGTGTACCTTTCCTTTTCTTATTGCTTAGTTTTTAAATTTCCGTTCGTGCAGGTGAAATTGAAATTTTGTAGATAAGTGGCATACTAAGCCAAATACCTAGATGTAAATATTCCGTCTTCGAGGTGCCCCTGTTTTGTACCTGTACAAGAAACTGTATGAAAGAGAGTTTGGGGCTTTTTTTTTGCTCTTTATATATTCGCCTGGGGTATGTGCAAATATTTCCATTTTTAATATTTCTCCATGTACTGTATTTTAATCAGCGAGAAGATAATCATTGCTGTATACAAAGAGAATTATGTAACATGCAGTATTCAATTGTTTTATTCATTTCCGTTTATTCCCGCAGTAAAAGGTTTTAGTTTGTATCCGTGTTTTTAATTCAAGTTGTACATGTCATAATGCTTTATGTAGCTTGATTTTTATTTTTAGTTTCTGTAAAAATTTACCCTGTGGAATTAAGAAATGATTTTGTTTTCTTAAAGGTTTGTCCTATTGATGCTATGAATCTAGAGTGGGGAACTTTGCCATTTTCTGCCATATTATGCCATATTATATATGGCAACAATGTAATAGCCCTGACCGCAGCTCAATGGTTCAGTTGGTCTCCGATGGCTGTCAAACTTGCCATGCCCTGCGTACGCGCAAGAATAGCCATTTGGAACCTGTCATGTGGAAAGTAATTGTGATAATTATAGTAACGTATGAACAGGGCCATCACCTGAAAACCCCTTTTTGCATCTCGGTGTGAGTTGAGTCCTGACTGTAAAACTTGCCACTCCTGTGTTCTTGATTTTCTATCCGTTTGATGGAAAATGATTTTTCAAAAAACTTGGTACTATATTTCTTTAAGGTCCTATCAGTATGACTGGTGAAACTTTGGCTAGAGAGGGCGCACTATTCTGCGGCACAGTTGCACTCCTTAACTCCTTAGAATGCTACAGCTTGCCTGCGCTGTGTTATTGCGCAATTGTTATTCTCTCCCCATTTGATGTAAAAACGATTATTCAAAAAGCGATGCCATGGTACTATATTTTATCATTGTATAATGACTAGATGAATATTGGATGTCAATGTTAATCAGAGTTCCTTGGATATGTTGATGTAGCCAACTCTACTTGATCTTAGTAAGGAAAGATGGTAGTGTAGTTATAGTTGTGTAGTAATAATAATATAGTCACAACTGGATGTTCAGTTCCAATAGGGTCTGTAGAGAGAGAGAGAGGGTGAGAGAAAGAGAAAGAGAGAGAGGGTGAGAGAAAGAGAAATAGAGAGAGAGGGAGGGAGGGAGAGAGAGAGAGAGAAGCGGGATGACAGCCTCAAGGAAAGAGATACTGAGAGTGAGATTTGGAAAGAAAGTGGGAGATAGAAATGGAGGGAAAGAGAGAGAGAGAGAGAGAGAGAGAGAGAAAGAAAGAGGGAGAGATAATGAGGTGAGATTGACAAAGATCTTTTAAAAAGGCAAAATTTGCCAGACGACTATGCAATATGTTTTGTCTGAAATGGATCACGGTATTAGAGTACTAAACACTTTGTGGATAGTCAGTAGACAAATGTCTCATTTGATGCTTAGAGTTTAATGGAATCATATCATCAATTCACTCTCTTGTAAATGTTTATTATGTTAACTTAATTCTTGACTCCAAAAATGCAAATATTAGAAAAGGCCTAATATTTAGGTTAAGCCAAAAGACCATTAGAACTTAGAAGAAGAAAAGAAAAGTAAAATGCGGTTCATAGTTAATCTCAAAAGTAAGATAAGATAAGATTAAATCACCCTTTTGACCCCCTCTTGGGTTATGAGAGTAAGAACAGAATGAACGTTGCATTTCAGCCAACACGATTGCATCAAATCTACCCTTAAGGGAAAGTCCACCCTGAAATTAAGTTAGTTTTAATAGGAGTAGAAAAATGAGAGAAACAAGTCAGTGAAAGTTTGAGCAAATTCCGATTAAAAATAAGGAAGTTAGGATTTTTTAAGTTGTGATCAATCAAACACAAATTGGCAACTCTATGACGTAAAATGCGAGCTCAACTTCCATTTGCTTAGTACTAAAAAAATCTAAAATGTTCATTTTCCCTCAAGAAAAATTTCAACCATACATGCACCCTAAATATAATAATTGCAAATATGTTTCTATACTCCCCCTGCAAGGAACAAATATATATTCCGTCATCAATAACGAAGAAAACATGATTTTATGGAATATTATGCACAAAGCAAATGAAGGAGAGCTCGTATAATACGTCACAGAGTTGCCAATTTGTATTTGATTGATCACAACTTCAATAATTCATAACTTTCTTATTTTCATTCAGAATTTGCTCAAACTTTCACTCACCTGATTTTCTTATTATTCTGCCTCTATCGAAACAAACTTATTTTTGGGGTGGACTTTCCCTTTAGGAACAGGAAGTGTACATGATGTAAAACAGAATATGCTATTAAGAGCAATGATAGTTTTTTTGGCCAAGTACGAAAGAGTAGCTTAGAGTAACATTTAATGTGGTATTTACTTGGACTAAGCATAGATTAACATTGAGTAACCTTCTTCTTATTTCAAGTTGAGGCATCAAAATCATTAACAAAAAATTGTAACATTTGCTGCGTTGTGTGAATAAAAGGAGATCTATATTTATGACTTTGATTAATCAATATATCGTAATTATATTTGATTATATATGATTATATATGATTATATTTGATTATATTTGAATACTACGATCAGCTATGTTCTTTCTCTTTATGATTACATCTATTTTTATCAATCAGTCTCATCTTACAGGGTACATGATACGAGTAGCATATAGAACGTTGTGTGTTATATTGAAAACCAAGTATACTCACTCAGACTGTGAATTTGTTATATTCAATCCTGTTGATTAACCCTTTGCGCAAGGGAACTGCGTAGATCATGTTATAATCAAATGAAAATTAAAGAAATCAGTAGTTACAGGGTTAATTTGATTATATTATCTGACTGAAGAGGTACATGTTTGACTGTAGTTTAGTGGTTCGTGCACTGGACTTTCAGTCTGGATATCAAGGGTTCAAGTCCCCATCTGATGCATATATGTGGTGTTCATCATTCATACAACGGCAGATGACCGTTTCTTTGACTGGATAGATTCATGTAATGACTCTAGTTCAGTGGTTCGTGCACTGGACTTTAAATCAAAAGACTTAGGGTTCAAGTCCCCACCAGGTGCATTGCGTGTGGTGTTCATCCTCCACTCGATGGATAGATTCATGTAAGATTCAGCTAATTTGCGTCTTCATCAGCCCGAAGTTGCAATTAGCGGGATATTTAGTCGGGATTGTTATCCCAAGATATCTTGGGATAGTTTGCAAAATATCCCACTATTTGGCAAAATATCCAGCTATTTGTCCGGTGCGTCTTCACCAGACCGAAGACTCGCACTATGCGCGAACGCTGAGCAAAATATCTCGAGCTAATTTCTCAAGGTCAAGTTTCAAGTCTCAAGGTTGTATCTCGAGCTGATGAAGATGCGATTTGTAACTTCAGGATTATTTCCCAAATCAGAAATAGCAGGCTATTTGGCAATCTCGAGCTGATGAAGTTGCTCCTACTTTGGAGGATCATGAGTCATTTTGTTTTTGTTGAAATGATTTTGTGATTCAACACCATTCCTATGGAGATGTAGGTATTACTTTCTAAACTCGGTTGAATATTTCCTTGCTGCCAAACAGTACGAGCAGAAGATTGACTGACCGTCATTTTTTTATAGAATGATTAAAAAAAGGAAAATATTAATAGCATATGATATTGTCAGGGCTCATATACATGTATTTTAGAGCCTTTATCAGGCAGGGATGTAATCATGAATCGTGAGTTTTAGACATTTATTATTGTGCAAGACTTTTCCTCATGACCAAGTGTATCTTCTATTTTGAAAAAGGGGTCATAGTGAATTTAATCATGAAATATCAAAGTACTATTTACTTGTTGATCCCTTGTTATATGTGTTTATATTTGATGGTTCAAAAGTATG